ATCATAGCAGAAATCATTGAAACAAAAAAAAAACAATTAAGGTAAACGCTCCTATTTTCGACGCTGCCCAAATTATCGGCAGTAATTCTACATAATCGACAAAAATAAGAATTCTTGCGCGTGATTGTTGGACGAAAGTATTTCACAACCTTTAAAAATATATTGGTCAGTTGGCGCCAAACTGTTATGGGAAGGGTTTCTTGTTATATGTGTTAAGAAACAGATAAGCTACAGAATGCTATAATTCCTAATAAAAATATCGAATAACCGTTTTATTATGTTTTATATGTTGAGAAATAGTTTATTTTGATTATTTGTTTGCCAAAAACTGTTTTTCTATAGCTGTTTGCAGTATTTTGAGGGTGCCAATAATAAGTACGTAAATATTAGCAGATGATCCAATCATCGGCTGGAGTGCCGATAATTGATTGTATGCATTAGACTGTATATAAGCTAATTTTAGCGTAATCTTTTAACTTACTAGGACAAATGTTTGGTCATTATATGCAATATAAAAAATGTTTCCTTGTACCAATTTTCGGCATTCCATACTTCTAGTAGAAATAGCCATAATTTGACGAGTATAGTGACACTGCCGATAATACATGCCTATACGTGCGGATAATTGGAAATTCTTTGTTTTAGACTACAATTTAGAAATTAGCAATGGAAAAGAGGAAGCGAATTCAATATTCTGCGGAAGATATAAACAAAGCTGTTGTAGCTGTTCAGTTAGGAATAGATGGTATAGAATAGATGGTAGGCCTGGACGTAAATGGTACGAACTATTTTTAAATAGGCATCCCGAACTGTCTACAAGAATTTCCCAAAACCTAACTTGTGCTAGAAACACTATAACAGAAAATCGAATTCGTCAATGGTTTATTGAAGAAGGGATATTCTTAGAAAGTACAAACAATCGCAACTTAACTTTTGATTATAGTCGTGTATTCAATTGTGATAAATCGGTTTATTTCCGAACTCCTAAGGGAGACAAAGTGTTGGTTAGAACAGTTTATTCGTTTGTTAGCAACGACAAGAAGGAATGTCTGACAACTTTAGTTACCTGTAGTGCCTCTGGTCAAATTTTACCACCTATGATCGTTTTTAAATATACAATAATTTCCAAATCAGTTATCGAACTGATATAATGGCCGAAAAATACCAGCTCACTGGGGGATAGGAAAGTCTGAAAATATGTGGATGATTGGCGAAAACTTTTTTGAGTACATCGCTAATATATTCCACCCTTGGTTACTTGCTTAAAAAGTGCAGTTTCCGGTTATACTGTTTTTGGACAGACACAGATCACACTTTACTATGGATGTAAGTGAATTTTGTAGTAATAATAATATTCTAATAGCTTTGTGTCCAAACGCAACATATATTTTACAGCCTCTAGATGTCGCAACCTTTCGACCATTAAAACGTGAATGGAAAAAGAGCGTGCATCGGTGGAGAATGAAAAACCAAGGTAAAAAGATAACCAGCGATTCATTTGCACCTTTTTTTAAAAGCACTTTTTAAAAAGTGGTAAATAAATGTTGAAAATATTAAATTTTCTAAATACTCTAAGAAGACGTGGGAGAGCAAAACTGTCAAAAGATACAAGAACAACGACAACCTACAGAATTTCAAGTCACCCTAAGAATTGTAGAAGAATGCATCTCAATTGACATGCTGCGATTGTTTGAGCTTTCTGGGTCAATTTGGGAAGGACCAGTAGAGCACACCAGCTTATTTTCATTATGGAAGGAAATAAAAGTCAAAGCCATGAATAAGCCTTCCAATGAACTTCCAGTGGACTTTGTTACGAAGTGGACTCATTTACAGAAGTGGAAATTCATAATATAATGAACTGAACTAAAATGAAATGACGATGGGGTTAACGTTACAGAATTTATTGACTGTAAAAATTTATTTCTCTTGGTAGGCGTCGCTGAAGATATTCCTATCATAGTTTCTAATCCATTCTCCTCTGGTCAATCCTCGTCACAGCAGATTTCGCCACCTTTGGAACAAAACCTTCAATAAATGGAATTTCATAATCCATTCTCCTCCAGTCAATCCTCATCACAGCAGCTTTCTCCACATTTGGAACAAAATCTTCAACAAATGGAATTTCATAATCAATTATTCCCCTCCGGTAAATCCTTTTCACAGCAGCTTTCTCCACCTTTGAAACAAAACCTTCAACAAATGGAAACTTCCTAAGTTACATCGGATATAATACTGACACAAGTTTGAATTTATACAAGAATTGTATGGATACATCTATTCCAACGCCGTTCAAAAAAAATTTTATTTTAGCCTAAACCAAAGGAAAATATTGCTAAGAGTTAAGGGATAGAGGATAAGGTACCTGCTGTAGCAACTTCATCTCAGTGATAACAATATTACAAGAAAAAGGAATAAAAGAAAAAATAAGAAGAGCAGCTAAAAATGCAGCGGAAAGGAAAGCGCACCCGAAAGAAAGAATTGGAAAACGAACAGAAAAAAAGTTGCTCTTTCACAAACTTTGAATAAAAGAATTTGTAATCGCAGGGCAAAGACTAAATTGAAGAATGTCACGAAATATCTATTTTCCACACCAAAAGTTCAAGAAAATAAAAGCATGTTAATTAGCGAATAGTCAACATCTAAACCTTTACAGGAATCTTGGTATTGCTCATTGTGTGACAATGACGATCAGCTGGACATGCTCCTTTGTGGTTCTTGCTTGAAATACTGTCATGAGGCTTGTCTTGTTCTAACTGAAGATGATAGAGAAGAACTGAAATACCCCTTGTGTCAATGACTACTAAAATAATGTGTTGATGGATTCGACCGTTACTTGATGGAAATTCATTTTATGTAACAATAAAACACTGAAAACTTTGTTTTTAAACTTCCACAAAATTTATTTTAACTATTATCACTACAGCTGGTTCGGCTGATTGCCTTTCTCAAGTGATCTATTTTTGGCTTGGGTTTACAAATTTATAGTCAATTCGATGTCAAAATACAACTTTGAGACAGATATAAATATAATTAAGCAAATAGCAGTAAACAACGGATACAACGAACAAACAATTAATAAAATGCTAAATCAAAAACTACACAAGAAAGCACTGAAATTAGTATTTCCACCACCAGAGAAAAAACCCAGTACCTTCTGCTCGATTACATATACAGGCAAAATAACAACAAAAATTATCAAACACATAAAAAAGAAAGGAATAACACCAGCTTTCCGAACAAATAACAACCTAGGCAAATATATTAAAAATAACAAGAGTCAAAATAAAAAACATTTAAATAGTAGTGTGTACAAACTTCAATGTGGCGACTGGCCAAAAACTTACATCGGTCAAACTGGTAGAAACTTTAATAAACGAATAGCAGAACATAAAAGGGCTTTCAATAATAGAAAAACAGATTCGACATACGCACTTCACCTTCTAGATCATAATCATTCTTTTAATGACAAATTTAAAATTCTTCACATTCAAAATAAAGATCTTAAGCTATCTTTGTTAGAATCTATGGAAATCAACAAATTAAAAAACACAGATATAATTCTGAATGACCAACTTGAGACAAACAGTTCTCCCCTCCTCAACCTATTTCATTAGAGACTATAAATTTGTAAACCCAATCCAAAAATAGATCAATTGAGAAAGGCAATCAGCCGAAACAGCTGTAGTGATAATAGTTAAAATAAATTTTGTGGAAGTTTGAAACCAAAGTTTTCAGTGTTTATTTTTACATAAAATAATGTGTGTTTATTAATTCAGTTTTCATAGATACATTAAGGATTTTATATTTATCTTTTGAAAAATACGTTATTTTATTTAAATTTTCAATTAAGTATATTTAAGTACATACCTACAATAATTTATTTGCTTCAATACTACCTATCTAACGAAATATTTGGTACCTTAACCCTATACCTATAATTATTCAAATCTTGGGTATCTAACTCATCCCGAAAAAAGGATCTTTGATGTGAATTAAAGCATGCATCGATAATGGGGACTTAAGACACTTTTCATTTTATTAAGATTTTAAATATTATAAGTTTGTTTTATAATAAAACAAATATTTTATGTGTAATTGTGTTAGATTTTATTAGCCCAAACCATAATCTAAATACACGTTGTTCAGGTAATTTGGTTATATGGTAATTGGTAATTCAGTTTATAAACTAATTAAAATGAAGCTCCATTGTACTTAATGTGCTAAAGGTGCCGATAATAGGTACATTTACCTTATACAGGAAATGAAATAACAACCGCTGCAATGGTATGGACTTAGTCCTAATGGCGGAAAAGCAACTAGGTACCAAAAGCGGAAAAAAGCAAGAAAGACCAAAAAGAAATTTAGAAACTAACATTAGAGAAAAAATGAACACGAATGTACATATTATGTGCTGAGGTGGAAATATTTTGCAAACAATTTACATAACCAACCGGACTCCTTGTATAAAATAATTAAAATTATCCAAGTTCAATTGTTACAAAGAGTAGGTACCTATTTTAATAGGCAATAAATAATAAGTGTTTTGTAATATTCCTTTATAATAAAACAGCAATTTCTACACAAATAATATATGCCGTCTAATTAGACACTTAAACTAACAAACATAATATGTATATTATTTTGCTTATTTTAATCTAATAATAAAACACCTGATTATATCTCATTTAATCAAATATTAATAAACCTAATATATAATCTATTTCATTATCTCCTAACACAATAAAAGCTATCATTTATAATTGTGCATATATCCCTAACTGGCGTGGTTATACAACTTTTGAGTATGCGCGCAAGCCCCTAAGACTTGGATTGGTTCTTTGATTGGTCGGCACAACGAAAGGCAGTGTCTCCAGTCCCCTCAAAACAACGTTAGCAAGTAGTCGACACTGTCAGTTGGAACTGCAAGTTGAATGTGTGAGGGTAGCAACCAGATTTAATTTGTGAGGACTGTTTTTGTTTTGTAGTAGTGTGGTTTCAATATGTCACAGTCTAATATTTTGGCTGAAGAGATTAGGCCGAGGGCAGTGTACAGCATCGATCAGATATTAGGAGTTAGCAGCCAGACTTCTGCAAAAAATAATTTAGGTGAGTTTTTTTTAAATTTATGCTGGCAAAATTTGAGTATAAATTTCAAATCATAATTAAATTAATTTAAAATATGCTAATTTATAAATTTATAACACAAACAACATGCTTATATATATGTATATATATATATATATATATATATATATATATATATATAATATATATATATATATATATATATATAGAAGAATGTATTGTATATACACATGAACATATTATGTTCATCTCAGTCCCCGACATCATCGGAACTGTTGAAAGGAAACATTAAATCAGTTGTAATTCTTTATCTTGTTTGCCTTGGAGGTTTTTGGATTGCCTACTTTGTTCTACTTCTACTAAGTTTTGCTTTAATGTTTTCTCTTTATTTCTTAGTTACTTCTTGTTTTTTCTGTAATATTTATATTACATCACAAGATAATTCATTCTTGTATTTGTAATACTTCTTTAATTTTCTTTGGTTTGTGCAATTATTTCCAGTACAAAAATTATTATTGCTTTAAAAGTGTTTTGGGGTTATCTGTTAATGTTTTAAGTTTTGAACCTTTGTTTTCCACTTTAGATACTTTTTCCCTCTGTATTATCTAATCTATTAATAGCCATGATAGAAGGTAATTTTTAAATTGATATTTTGCAACTTATTTCTGCTCTTTTTCATTGTGTTTTTTCTGATTTTTAAATAATTCCAAATTTCTTGCTTCCTTATTTGGTTTTTAAAAACTTTTGTCTGTCATTGGGTCATCTTGGTATGTAATTATTTGTAGTTTTTTTTACGTTTTTTTTTATTTAGTTCTCTTTCTTTTAGTAGGTCTATTAACACCATGTTAGAGCAATTGGAGATAATTGGGTTACATCTTTTAGCTCATCATTGATTTTAAGTTATACATATTTTATAAGTTGGTGAAATGGTTCTGAAACTGTTTTATTGTGGCATATTTAACTTGGTAAATATTATTTTGTATGGAATTTAATCACGATTAATTTTACATATGTTTTGGCGTTTCGATTTCCAATCCGTAAATCGTTTTCAAAAATTATGAATGATTTGTCCTAGTAATGTTTACAATTGACCATTCATAATTTTCTTTTAGAATTTTTGAAAACGATTGCCGGATTGGAAATCGAAATGTCAAAACAAATGTAAAATTTAATTCTCATAATCAATTGTGATTTATTACCATATTATAAACTAATAGTTCGCTTCTACGTTGATGTTTTAAATTATGTTTTCGGTTATTTGTATTTTTTTGTTGTTGTCACTGGTTTGAAACACTAACGGAAATAAAATTGGCATTTAGAAAAATTCTGTTTATTTAAATAATATTTAGAAGCGACAACATAATGAAAATTTATTAGATCCAAATAGGCCCAATATTATTTCTTTAATTATTAATATACTTTTTGCGTTTTTTGAAGGACCTTTTTTATAATTCACAATTAATTGTATTTTTATAATACCAGCAAATACTTGTATTCTTAATTTATGTTTCGGTAAGTACAAGCAGATGCTTGGTAAAAATTTTGTCAATTAAAATGGGTCTCTGTTTTATGTGTATATATTAGACAGTGGCGTAGGTAGCCTTAATCCCTTATCAAGGTTTGCCGCGGGGTCATTTTCCACGTCCGATATGGGATAGTGATAAAAAATATTCAACAAAAGAAGCAAAAATGCTTTTATTGAACAAAATATTTAATAAATATAGTTACAAAGTATGCAGATGCTTCTGCGAGCCAATAATATGTTACCCAAACAATTTAAAAACGAACTTTTCTCGCCTTTTTTAGAAACTTATTTATTCAAGCGTCCAAGCGTAAAGAATATTTAAATTTCTCTAGATTTCCGATTTATATAAACAGTAATGACATGTCTGATAGTTGTTCCTGGTCCATAGAAATCCTGAGGTAGTTTTTAATCAATTTTAAATTTGAAAAACTTCGTTCAGCTACAGTAGTAGTTAGCGAAAGTGTTTAAACAGAAAAATGCTGTTATTACCTCCGGAAAACTGAAGGTATACCTACAATATTTATCATTAGAGGAGAAGGTACAAATATGGGCTACCATTTTGTTTATTACTGATATCTTGACTATTTTTTGATCGAAAAAGTTCAAGTTACATAATTTTCATGTAGAATTGTTTTGTTCTTTTGTACTATTCCGTTTTTCTGCCTTGTAAGATATTTTTTTCTGTAATGTCATAAAAACACTCACGGTTTCGTTTAAGTAAGAAACGGAAAGGTAATATAAATATGGGTTACTAGTAAAGATATTTTTATTTTATCATTTTTTATGTACAATATTCACATACATATTCGTCTCTTTCTGTACCAGAACAATCTATATGGGCCCACAAGTTGCACATAAGGTACTGAATCCATTTTTAATAACCTAGCCTCGATAATCCTCACAAAATTTTCCGTCACAGAAAGAACAATTTACATCCGTATTATCCGGATCCGTTACACCAGGAATATTTTCCAAGTCCATATCTTCATCATCTGGTTGAAATTCCTGCTCACTATCGTTGTCAGAAGAACTTTCGATTTCCTCTATATGCCGCCTCTCGGACTTGTTTTTAATTTTTTTCTTAGTCACCTCCCTTGTGGACTTAGTCGTAATGTTTTACTGCTTGCACATTTAATTTCTTTTTGCTGTTTTGCTGGTCTAATGCTTCTTTGTAAGGTGAAGTTATTACCCTTGATTTCGATGATTTTCTACCACGATTTGTAGATTTTTTCCTGATTGACGGCACTGGCGATATTTCAAATGGACTTACAAACTTCTGCGAACCAAAAGGACCTGGTTTAGTAATGTTGCTGGCTTCTGGTGTTTTTGGTAGGATATCAGGTTCATTAGCTTGCGGACTTACAAACTTCTGCAAACCAGAAGGACCTGGTTCACTGATGTTGCTGGTTTCTGGTGTTTTTGGTAAGATAGCAGCTTCAATAGCTTGCGGTTCTACATGGCTGTGGTTATTACTCAATTTCTGCTGCAATAAAATCTGCATCTGAGAACACAGTCTTATTCAATGGATAAATTCCAGTGGCGCGGAATCCATTTACAGTAATTTCTCCAGTTTGGCTTGTAAGGTATGCTTTGCCAAAAAGTTCTCCAATATCGTACTGAGAGAGGGCGCGTACGGATGACGTAACCATTGCCTGATTTTTTCGCTATAGTATCCTTGATCGCTCCCATAAAAGTTTTGTCTAGCGGTTGCAGTTTGTGTGTTAAATGTGGAGGTAATGAAATTATAACTTTGTTATTCTTCTTGCCAGATTGATCACATCTAAATTGCGAGTATGGCTGTAGTGTCCATTCAATATAAGAAGTACAGGAAACTCTTTAGAGGGTTTAACAGTATCTATGAAGTCTTAAACCACTGTGTAAATAAATTAGACTGCACCCAACCACTAGGATGAATGGCTGATATCGATCCAGGAGGAGTACATTCCATGAGTTGCACATTCATATTCTTTCTTGGGAAGATTAACTTGTGTGAGATTAACTCATACATGCAATTAAAGTGATCAATGATCCTTTCTCAACCAAAGTCAGCGATGCGATTTGTCTCTTTACTTTACTTCCGTTCTTTTTTTAAATCATAGGGCCATTTTACTTTACTGTGATGTGCCCAAGTCCTCCAAGTGAATTATTACACTAGCAGATATAATCCTAGTACTTACCATTGCAATCTAAATCAATTTGGTAATCTGTTTAATTAAAAAATGAAGAAATTTTGGGCATCTTCTTCTAAAGAACTACTTTATTTTTTTTTTGTTTTATTTTTCTTTTTACAGCTCCACTAATGTACTCTATTTTTTTTTCAATCACTTTTTTCACGATAATATAATTTTAGAATTTAAACTTTCTAAATCTACTGCACAAATTGAAATCAATTGTAATAAACCAAAGGCGAAAAATAAATGTGAAATGTACAAAAAAAGGCTGCTTGGTAGATTTTATTGCCACAATTTAGACATCTTCTATAACAAATCTATAAGGCGTTCTCATTTCTAAGTATAGTCGTCCAAACCAAATCAACAAATGAGTAAGGATATTGTGATATTAGTAAAATTAATCTTTGTATTGGAATTAAGCCGCTCATAAAAGTGGCCAACAATTTTATTGCTGTTGTAACATCTTTTGAAGATTGACTATGTGAAACCTAATAGTGAAATTCTGAAATAATTTTTTTAAATTAAAATTTTGTTTTGACCAAATGGTGCTGATACGGCGATAGCTACGCCCGCTGATATTTTAGGCCAGTCCTTTACTTTTCTTCTTCTTCTTCGCGTGCCATATCAGAATTATCCGACTTTATCGATCACCATTGCGAAGGCTTCTCGATTTTCTGCAATCTTGTCCTGCATTTGGTATCTGAGTCCATTCACGAATGTTTTTTAACCAAGAAACTTGTTTTCTTCCTACACCTCTACGGCCCTCTATTTTGCCTTTAAGGATCAGTTGTAAAATTTTATATCGACTTCTTCTTACTATATGTCTCAGATAAGATATTTTTCGATGTTTAACAGTCTTTAACAGTTCTCTGTCTTTGTTGACGCTCCTTAAAACTTCTTCATTAGTTTTTCTTGCTGTTCAAGGTATTTTCAGCATTCGTCTATGAACCCACATTTCCAATGCTTTAATTTTGTGCATGATCGATACTTTTATCGTCCACACGTCTGCACTATACAAAAGTACATACCAAACGTAACACCATAACACAACCATTCTTTGCCTTAGTTCTAAACTGAGATGGTTATTGCAAAGAAATGACTTCATTTGCATAAAAGTAGTTTTAGTCAGTGCTATTCTATGTTTTATTACTATGTCTGGATCTTTGGTCCGTTATCACAGTTCCCAAATATGTCATTTTGTGAACTTTCTCAACTTGGACTCCGTTCACTTGAAGCTTTGCATCGGAATGTGGGCCAGGACTAGACACTAAAAATTTGATATTGTTTGAGTTTATTTTAATCCCATTTCCTCTCCTACCTCGTGA